TCTGAGCCAGAAAAGATATTACAAATTGCAGCTGATGCAAGGAGGTGGAATTTTTTTTGATTTGCAATGAGCTGTCTGAAAGTGTGGTAGAGCAGATTCAATAGCAACAACTCTCAACAGGCAAATGGGTAAAAATTATTTAAAAAGGAAAAGATTTGCAGGATGGCAGGGTAAGAATTGGGGGAGCATGGAACTAACTAGACTGCTCCTCAAAAAGCCAGCATTGGCACTATGGTCCAAATGAGCCTTCTGATGCGATGGTAATTGGATACTGTCAGAACCAGGAGCTGGACAGTACAGACACATTAGAGAGGTTACAATAGAATGAGCCGACTGCTCTGCATAATTCTATGGATTCTGTTGCTTAAATTCCCCTCCAACAAAGCATTGAGCTTTAAATGATCTCAAAATTGTTTAGGAACAAAAACAAATTTGCTGGAAAAGCGCAGCAGGTCTGGCAGCATCTGAGAAGGGAAAAACAGAGTTAATGTTTCTGGTCAGGTTCTGAGGAAGGGTCAACAGACCCGAAACATTAACTCTGTTTTTTCCTTCACAGATGCTGCCAGACCTGCTGAGCTTTTCCAGCAATTTTGTTTTTGTTCCTGATTTACAGCATCTGCAGTTCTTTCAGTTTTTATCAAAGTTGTTTAGATTTTTTTTCAGCTGAGCCAGATGAAGCAATAGACTACTTCTAGGACAAAATATCGTAACTTTTGTCTTTGTATATTCAAGTCTGGGTATATGGCCTGCTATGAGTTCAAAGGGACAAAATAATTGCCTGAGGTGGGTGGTTTGTTTATGGTTAAATTTCTCGTGTATTCTCCTCGTTTACACAGCTCTGCAATGAGAACTTAAAACCTCTTTCTCATTGCCAGGAATTTTTACCCTTCCCACCAGCTATAAGAAACTCCGCAACCACACAAGAGGAAAAACAAATAACCATTTTATAGTGCAAGTTAATTCAGAAAGTTAGGTACAAGGTCATGAATCAACAATATATGCATCAATTCTTTCAATGAATCGTAAAGTCTGGTAAGATAAAATAAATAGCGTTTCCTCACAGGAAAAGCAACAATTGCACCAATGTTTAAAATGCTAAACAGACAAAATATAACAATTCCACAAGAAAAATGCCAGACAGATTGAAAATGTGCAAATATCAAAGCCAGCAACCATTCCTTCTGTGCACTATCTCAAAAGCTACTCTTGGGAGTTATGAAAATCAAATTCATTTATGGTCCAATGATTGGTTGAATCTTTTTAATGGAACTGCAATGTGTTAGATGGTGGGATTAATGATTAGAACAGGATATTGACCAAACAGGAGGATTGTTTGCATTAGTCTGTACTCCAGGGATTCAGTCTGTGGCCATAACAAGCAGCATGACAGTGAATGGGAGCTGTTTGACTATCCGCTATGGATTCCTCACTGGATTAGGGTACATTGGAAAGTGTGACGTTCAGTTTCATTTAAACATCCTCAAACACTTCCTCTCACTCAAGCCCAGGCAGAATAAGGTTCCACTCTGCTCCAGTGGAAAACCTGCTGTGTGTTATGTGGAGGGAGTGATACACAGACCTGGGGTGTGTACACACAAACACACATACTGTGCTACCTACCCTGAGATAATTTCAGGCCTCTCACAAAGGACACCAACCTATCATCTCAAACTGTACAACCTTGTGACCTTCATTGTATACAGCTGCAACTATTGTGCAGTCTATATTACATCAGGTTCACTGCGATAAAGTATGTTCTGAAACATTACCTAAAACTTCTGTGAAACATTTATATAAAAAAGAAACATTTCTGACAAACACCAGAGACTAGCAGGAAACTCCCATAATTTCATGGCTTAAAAGAGTGGCACTTGGGGGTCCAGTTACCCAACAATCAATTGCTTTAGAGTCTCAATTCTGTTTTAATGCCCAGTTCACTTAAATTTTCCAAAAGTAGAGCTAATCATCAATATTGGAAAATGAATATAAGGCACTAGACTTCATGCCCGAGTTTCAGCAAATATTTCAGTTTGTTATAATTACAACTGTCAGGGAATGACTGGACAATTCGTTGTGAATTACAATTTGAAACAAAGCAAACTAGATGAAAAATAAGGTAATGAAGCAGCTTAATTCAACAATAAATATGAACTTTTGGCGATAATGGCTCAAAATGAATTATTAACTTTCATTGGAAGTGACCCCACTGACCAGGGTTTAGCAAGGTTCAGGGGTCTTTTTTTGTTTTGTAAGTATCGTTTTAAAAACTAGAAGTTTTCAAGGCCACTGAAGAGGTTACTATTAGGATCCAATGGGACTGCAGTGGATCAGACCAGATCAAATCCTGCTGGCAGGTCCCTTTGCTGGAGAGAGATTTAGGAGCCAGATGGATTTTTCTGATGTTAGTTATTGGTTCAAATTCAATAGAAAACAACAACAATTTGCATTTAAATAGAGCCTTTACCATGGTAAAATGTTCAAAAGTGCTTCTCAGCAGTGTTTGCACTGAGCTACTTAAGGAGATGCTCAGTCAATGAACTGTGTTTTAAAAGACCTCATAAAGGAGACGAGAGAGGCAGAGCGGGGAGAATTCCAGAGCTTAGGATCTAGCCCAAGCAGCTGAACGCTCAGCCACCAAACTTGGAGCAATATTAATTGTGCGGAATGTGCAAATGGAACAGATCGCAGATGGCTTAAGTCTGGAAATAGGGAGGGCTGAGGTCTATGAGGAATTCAAGCATTAAAATGAGAATTTTACATTTAAGACATTGCTAGGTGAGCAGCCAATGTAGCTCAGTCCGTACAACATTTGATACCAGTTAGGGTATGGCCACCAGAACTTTGGATGAACTTTGAACCATACCTAGAACAGTGATGCAAACATTTCAGTTACCAAGCTTGAGGTGCAAACACTTAAATGCATAAATAAAAATATTCATGAATTCATTAAAATAACAGGCATAGGAGTTTGTTACAGGTGCCCTCAGGTAGGATAACACTCGTGCCTATTTTAAACCTTAGGTTCCCAAAGTGACAGCTTCCTGCTTAGTTTTTTTTTGTTGCATGGAGTTGTACTGAAAACAACCTTTCTAATCATGAGACAAGGGGTTCGCGCCAAAGACAAAACAACATTCCTGCTCTTTGCAGAGGGCAGGCATGATTAGGGAATTGTGCGTTTTATCACTGCTTGAGAGGACACAAATTTCAGTTAAAAAGTAAAGTCACCACAGTCTCACTGGACCACAGGGCTGCTCTCTCATTAGAGAGAAGTTTGTGGTGGTGGTTTACCCTGTGGGTCACCAAGACTCAGGCGAGGGGAGAGGTCGAGAAGGAGAGTCCTTCATGGTAACTTCAGCCAGCGCAGGAACTGAACCCACTCTGTCGGCATTGCTCCGCAGCACAAACCAACCATCCAGAAAACTGACCTGGCCAACCCACAGAACATTTGAGGTAATTGCCTAAAGAAGCAGCAGATGGTTAAGATCTGGAGTGCAGTCCCTGAGGGTGTGATACAGACAGGTTCAACTAAGGTATTCAAGAGGGAACTGGCTATTATTTGAAGCAGAAGACCATGTGGGGTTAGGGGGAGATGGCAATGGTTGGCAAAAGGTCCATTGCTCATTTAAACATTTCTCGCAGACATGATGGGCTTTGTGTCCTCTTTCTTGTGCTGTAATAATCCTGTGATTTTTGGACATTGTGTGGAAGATCAAACAAGCCATATATATCCCAATGCAAACATTAGCCACGTGCTTTTGGGATTCCATTTCCAGGGGCAGAGTTTATTTCCAAACCTTCTTCCAATCAGGTAATGCCAAGCAAACAGGCATGAAAATCAAGCACCCGACTTACGGTGCTCTGAATTTCCTCATCACTGATGTCAAAGTTCAGCAAATCGGGAATGTCACCCTTCAATTCTCCAAAGTGCGTCAGACCCATTATTACTTTAGAAGTTACTGTCACTAGTACATACTTAATGTGGTTTATCTGGCATTCGTTCCTCTGTCAGTTTTAAAACAAGTGATACGCACACACACCCATCCTGCCAACAAGACTGGAGAATCAGCGAGTTCATTCAAAAAGCTTCCACAGTCGCAGTGGGCTGAAAGACCTCTGTCTGAGCTGCATAATTTTACATGTGGCTCATTTGAAAATATTTGGAGAAACATGTTTTTCAACTTTAATTTAAAATGCCTTACTCCACAGGAGTAATGCTTAATGGTAATGTGTATCTTTAGGTCTCAAGAATATACATTAATGTGGTCTTTGGTCATTTGACTGGAAGCAAGTGAACTGTCGCTATTTCTCTCACTTGTGTTCATTTCCTTCTCACATACACATACACATACAAACACACTTATATACATAGGCATGGGGGTACAATCCCCTCCAAAGCTGCAACATGCTAACATTTTCATATCCTTCATGATAAGTTAAATTCCCTTCATTTCATTGCAAAGCATTCGATACTTTGTAAACACAGAGACCCTGTTCCTTGGATCTTGTGGAACAGATAGATGCTGTTTGATCCAGACGTTAGAGAATGGAAGTGTGACTGCGTTCAATCACAGTTATCAGTAGGAACTACTGTGACCCAGACTAGGTATCTGTAGCTATGTCTTCTTGTTACAATTCTCCACATCTCTGCCTCCTGGGAGGCAATGGCCAAACTGTATTAACACTAGACTACTAATCCAAAAACTCAGCTAATGGTCTGGGAACCTGGGATTGAATCCCACCACGGCAGATGGTGGAATTTGTACTCGATTTTTAAAAATAAAAAATTTGGGATTGAGGATCTATGGACAACCATGAAACCCATTGCTGATTGTTGGAAAATCCCATCTGGCTCACTAATATCCTTCAGGGAAGGAAATTCGCTGCCCTCACCTGCTCTGGCCTATGTGTAATTCCAGACCCATAGCAATGTGGTTGATTCTCAAATTGCCCTCTGAAATGGCTCATTAAGACACTCAGTTCAAGGGCAGGTCGGGATGGGCAATACATGCTGGCCAGCCACAATGCCCACATCCTAGGACAGAGTTTAAAATAAGCAGACTTAACTCCTTTGCCATGATCTAGTAAACATGGGGGAGCAACTACAAGAACATGACTTTCCACTCAAGAGTTTCTTTAAAGGTTGTCACAAGCTGTGTCTTCATGCATAGGTCATCCTTCCCAGATAGTTAGCAGGGACATAGCCCCGTTTCCCTTTAACTTCTGCCAACCACCAATCTGGATTCCCACTCAAGTCACTGGATTTCACGATTGTCACTCGCTCATATTCCTGAAGGCTGAGTTCATATTTACTCCGTGCTTCAAAAGGATAAACGGCATAAAAGATCTGTGAAAAGATAAAACAGTAAGCACCATGAAAGACATAACTGGCACATCACTGGGAAAAGTGGTTTGTTCAATGTCCTGTCTTGCTTGGATACATAGGTCTACAACAGAAGAATAGGCGACTCAGCCAAACTGATCCATGCTACACATGGGCCTCCTCCAAACTTTATCAGCTTTTTCTTCTTGTGCCTTCTCATCTTAAAGCCCCCAAAAAAGTCACCCCACTTATAGAGAAAAGAGCCCCAGCATGTTCCATGTTTCTCAATAAATCTCATCTTTACTATTAATTCTGCTCAAAAAGTACTTAAATTATGCAATTCGAGGGAAATCATAGAATCCCTACAGTGTGGAAGCAGTCCATTGGGTCCACACTGACCCTCTGAAGAGCATTCCACCCTATCCCTGTAACCCTGCATTTCCCATGGCTAACCCACCCAGCCTGCACATCCCTGGATACTATGGGTAATTTAGCATGGCCAATCCACCCTAACCTGCACATGTTTGGACTGTGGGAGGAAACCAGAGCATCCGGAGGAAACCCACGCAGACACGGGGGAGCATGTGCAAACTTCACACAGTCACTGAAGGCTGGATTTGAACATGGGTTCCTGGCGCTTTGAGGTAGCAGTGCTAACCACTGAGCCACCATGCCACCCTTTGCCACGTGCTCTTTCTCTTGAACAAATTGAACGAAGATTCAAATTACGAACAGGCAGGACCAGAGTATGTGCACATGCAATAGACTGGATAAGATTCTGGATTGTATTTGAATCTAGGTCCCACAGTTTAAAATCAGTGTCTAACTCATTAAGACCACCAGGGCAGAATCTCTGGTCTTGGTGATCTCGTCATCAGTGAGACAGGAAGTCAGTAAACCCTTTCAGGGCTACTCATGGTGTCAAAGGCCCAGGCATAATATTAAAAGGGCATTCATTCCCCACATACCAGCACCACAATTCATGCTCTTGCAGTGGATACCTCAGAGCTACTGCAAAACCTTCTGATTTCACATCATCCCCCAACACCAAGAATAACCTCAATTACTGCTTCCTATGATGAAGATTTATAATATAGGCGATTATTATTTTACTATGCCAGAACTTGGCTTCTAAAGTAGAGGTAAATGGGGTTTTGATTTTCAATTCTGTGAAGATGTGTTGTTTTCTTTTAAAACAAAAGAGTCAGAATGTCATTTTTGTAGCAATGGACGAAGCAGCATACCCAAGAAATCATGCAATTTAAGCTAAATGACTAGTAGAGCGATGTGGTGAGGTAATTGCTGAAGTGTTTACTAAGTTTAAGAATTACGACCCAGAGGGAAACAATTGGAGTGGGGTCAGAAGCAGGTCTGTTCAGAAGAAAAGATCCATACCAGCAGAAGGGCAATTTAGTTTTGGCAGCATCCAAGACATCAGAAGTGGAAAGAAATCTTAAACTGTTTTAGCAGTTCAAGCAGCCAGGGCTGGAAGAAGCCCCAAGCTTTGTCTCAACATGTAGCGCATTAGCCTATGTCTGTGCATCTCTGAGACAGAGAGAGAGAGAGAGAGAGAGAGACAACAACAGAGAAAATCACATTCTGTAAATATACAGAAACTCACCAAAGGGAAATACTTGCACTGGAGGGGGTGCGGAGGAGATTCACCAGGATGTTGCCTGGAATGGAGCATTTCAGCGATAAAGAGAGGCTGGATAAGCTCGGGCTGTTTTCTTTGGAGCAGAGAAGGCTGAGGGGGGACCTGAGAGAGGTGAGTAAGATTACAAGGGGCATGGTCAGGGTGAATAAAAAGCAGCTGTTCCCCTTGGTCGAAGGATCAAACCAAAGGGGGCGGTGTAATTTCAAACGAAAGAAAAGAGGTTTAGGAGATTGGAGGAAAAACCTTTTCACCCAGAAGGTGGTTGGGGTATGGAATGCATTACCTGAGAGGGTAGTTGAGGTGGGAAACCTCACCACCTTTAAAAAAATACGTGGATGAGCACTTGAGATGTCATAACATTCAAGGCTATGGGCCTAGTGCTGGAAACTGGGACACATGCATATAGTAGCATATTTCTGGCAGTACAGACTTGATGGGCCAAAGGGCCTCTTTCTGCACTGTATGATTCTATAATTCTAGTTGAGTAAAAAATTGAAGAGCAAAGGCAGGAGTGATGCTTCACTTGGGGCAAATGCTTGTAAAGGACATTGCTGTGAATATTTTTGCAGTTTAAGGTAATATCTTTCCAATGTATAGCTTTTTTTTTCCTTTAAGTAATAAACTTTTGTTTGTTAAAAGTACATTGAAAGCCTCTTGTGAATATGTGCAGTGACTAATTCCCACAGTAACCAACTTGCAAAAATAAACTTATGATCTATCAAGGATAACACAGTGTGGAGCTGGACGAACACAGCAGGCCAGGCAGCATCAGGGGAGCAGGAAAGTTGATGTTCAGAAGAAGGGTCCCGACCCGATAACTGTGTTATCTCTGACTCCAGCATCGGCAGTTCTTACTATCTCCTTATGATCTATCAAGTCAGCTCTCACTCTGGGATCTGACTTGTCCAGTGTTACCATCAACTGGGACCATAATAACCACTAATGTCTGCCTCAGAAAAGACAAAGGTGGCCAATTTTTTTTTCATGTCAGAATGTGGGCCCAGTGCCAAAAGTGGGCATACGATCTATTGTCCTCCGTAAGGCTAAGAAGCACTGTGTAGGCACTGCAGCGCGGCATCAAAAAGACATCAAACAGGGTAAATGTGTGAGTGCAGAGAAACATCAGGAAGAATTTGGGGTTGGTGACCTCAGCAACAGATGGAACCGGTGGATTGAAGGGCCAGGAGCTACAATTCCTGTATCAGATGCAGTGTAGTGTGGGCTTGGAACACTTAGTTGGGTGGGTGCAGGAAATATTATCGGCCTACATCCATGTGAGTGGCATTTGATCATTCTGTCTCTAGGACCGCAAGGGGAAAACTGCTCACATTTTGCAGAAGCGCAGTAAAACAGGTGGAGATGTCCCAATATTTGTACATTGGTGCATAATTTGAGGAAGTGGTGGGAATGTGAACTCATTAGATTAGCAACAATCTTATGGAATAATGGAGTAGGATTGAGGGGCTGAATGGCCTACGCCTGCCCTAAATTTGAATGTTCATATGCTTCCTGAGGAGGACTTCACTTATTTCAAAGAGAAAATATATAATTAAATGTAGTTCTACTGATAGAATGATGGAGAGGAAAGTGGATTCAGATAGGTCACACCAACGCAAGAAGTAAGCTATAACATCCTTCCTATTAGAGAATTCCCTCACGCAGTATTATGTTCACTCACTCAGAGATAGTAAGAACTGCCGATGC